GTTTCAAGTTCTTTCTTCTTCAGAGCCTTTTGTCCTTTTTAGATAAACCGATGAAGGAGTGTGGGTGGAAAGGAGCATGGTGGAGCAGGTCAGTTCAATAAACCTGGCTTATGTTTCTTTAATGTGCAGATCTCTGGCGATTGCAGTTTCTCCTGCCGTTTGTCAGCCTCGGTCTCATGTGCTTTGGAGCTCTGATTGGGCTCTGTGCATGCGCCTGTCGCAGCCTGTACCCTGCCATTGCCACTGGAGTCCTCCATTTTCTTGCAGGTAGGTCCTCTGCCATCCGCTTATTCTCCCTCCTCTATGAGCTCTTAGTGATAGCCAGAGTGCTTCAGTAGCAAACTAACTGCACTTTCTTCTGTTTTCTCCAGGACTTTGTACACTGGGCCTGGTTGGCTGCTATGTAGCTGGGATTGAGCTGCTTCATAAGAAGCTGCCCCTACCTGGTGATGTGAGGGGTGAATTTGGCTGGTCCTTCTGCCTAGCCTGTGTCTCAGCACCTTTGCAGTTTATGGCAGCTGCTCTTTTCATCTGGGCAGCTCGTACCAACAGAAAGGAATTCACTCTCTTGAAAGCATACCGTGTAGCATAGTAAATGTTGCTACGCAAGTATTAGCTTTCCATGTGACAGACTCCCCTCAACCCTTATTACTTTTTATTGTTCTTTTAGACAGAGATTTGGCCTCGTACTGCTTTCTTCTTGCCAGTTGATACAGTATAGCTTGCAGGCCCTGAAGACAAAGACCTTTGGGCTGAATGACCAAACTTTGCCAGAAGTCTGCAGAACTTAGTTTCTAAAAATGGTTTTTAATATATATATATATATGTAAGTTTGCTTTAGTTGACTTTTCTTTGAACATCGTCTTAGTTAAATGTATATTTTTTTCTTAATTTTATTACTCTATGAGCCTGACAGAGGATATAGGGAAGGCGTTGTGATGTGGAAGTGAGATAGGAAAAGATGCAGGTAGGCAAGAATGGGAACTGTGGAGCAGAAATTATAAATCACTGTTTGAGCACTCTCCATAGGCCATAGAGGAGACAAGAGACATGGAAAAAGAGGAACCTGTCTTATGGAAGTACTGTAGTTAATCAGTGCTATAGCTTATCTTTGGGTCTCTTACTCTTGCTAGATTGTTACTTTCTATGGCTTCCACCAAAACTGATGTAGGCAGAGCAGCTGGCCCTGGAAGTGGTTGCACAGCACATTTTGCTAAACAGAGAACCTGTGCTGCTTTTGCTGTGAAAGAGAAGTTTCCCTATGTGGAATTTCTTGCTACCCTAGGTACGCTGCTTCCAGGTACCTGCACTACCTGTGGTCGTGTGCTCTAATCTTGTGCTTTTGCTTGTAGTGAAATAAGGCTTTCCTAGCTCCTGTTGTATTGAAGGCAAACCTTTACAACCTTTTTCACTTGGAATTTGATTTAGTATGTGTGTGTATATGTACATAATATAAACTTTTGTAAATGCTCTTATTTTACCTATGTAGCACATAACAGGGTTTGGTGGTTTTTTTTTTTTTAAAGGTGCTGCTCAATTCCACCTTGTCTCAGATCTATTGGTTAAGTGAAATAAAACAGTCCTCAGAAACTTCTGGTGTTGTGTGGATTTGTTGGGATAGGGAAGGAGTGCACTAGAAGGACTGGGGAAGGGGAGAGGAGAACTATGCATCTCTCTGTAGTCAGGGAAATGTCGCCAAAAACAAATACATTTTGTTAGGCGTGTGGGTGACGTGATTTTTCTTCGACTGTCAGCTGGAGTGGGGACTTCCATAACTACTCCCAGGAAGCAGTTCCCAAGTGGTTGCTGTTACTTTTCTTAGTCTTATAGCTGTAGTGCAGGGTGTTGCTGCCGTAAAGATTCTGAAGTCATCAGAAGTGCTGGATCGCCATTCCTTTTGTAGGTAGGTTACCTCCATTATTTCCTTGATTTCCATAACTTTTCTTAGTCTGTCATCTGAACTGCCAATACTCCTGTTGCTTTTTGTTGTTTCTTTGTACGTACTGGACTGCTATTTCTACTCTCTGGAGGTTATTTCTCCGATAGGATTTTTTTTGTCTGTCATCATTGTAGATTTTTCTTTCTGTCATCACTTTTACACGTTTTCTGATTTGCTGCACTTCCATATCTTTTATCTGGATGCTTCTTACTTTATTTCCGCCTGTATCCTGCTGTCCGTTAAGTCAGACTAGCCAGAAGTGTAAGGGAGATGAACCTGCTTTTCTTCTCTGTGCTGGTGAGGCCTCACCTGGTATACTGCATCCAGCTGTGGTTTGCTCAGTACAGGTGACAAACAGACCTGTTGGACAATGTCCAGAGTAGGGCTGCAGAAATCATCTTGGAATGGAACACTGTTGCTGTGAGGATAGGCTGGGTGAGCTGTTGCTCTTCAGTCTGGAGACAGGGAAAAAAAAAAAAAGCAAGGCTCTGAGGGTCCATTATTTCAATTATTTTTTGGCTTTGTCATCTAAAGCATGACTCTCATTGGTTTACTGTGGAGCTTACGTTAGTTATTTATTTTTGTTTTCTTCCTTTGTCAAGGGACACATCAGGCTGATGCTGAATGCGGGAGGTTATTTCTGTTATTCCCATTATTTCTGTTCTCTTACTTGGTCAGCTGCATGTCAGGCTGAGGCTGGATCACTTGAGATTTCCTTTATTTCTGCTATTTCCCTTATTTTCTAGTGTAAGCTATGTTACATTGTGCATGCTGCACTTCTGATATCCTGGCAAGCTGTGTTTAAAAGCTGTTTCAGCCTTAAATCTTTTAGGGGATATGACCCCATTGCCCTGGCAGTTGCTTTAGGTAAGGCAGTGTCCACGAAACCTTGACAGTTTCTGGAGGATTTGAGCCTCTTCTCTAAGCTTGCCTGTCCTATAGCATTTCTCCCTTCTGCACTTCTCAAGCTTCTCTTTTTGGAAATATATCACCATGAAGTTAAGCCTTAGATGCTGTACACCTGGCACTCACAGATCAGTAGATGCTGTACAAATTTCTTTTGGGTCTCAGCTGTAACCTGGAAACAATAATAATGCTCTGTCTTCATCTAAATCTGACAAGGTTGTATTGTCAGTAAATCATGAGCAGACCTTTCATTCAAGAAACATATTAGACAATGTTTACTATCTTGCTGTATTAACTCTATTGCTTAACTTCCCAGCATGAGCTTTTTGCAGTCCTAGAAGTTTTTTTCCCTCTTAATGGCTCATATGGATCTTGTTCCACTCTCTATCTGGCTTTATCTTTTAACTGCCACTACACGAACCGTTGCTCTCTGTCTTTGAGTCTCTTCTGTCATGCTCCTATACATCAATATTTTGGAGAGACAGAATTGCTAATTCACATTGCACTGAAGAAACCTCAGTGTTGCAGAGGTCTCACCTTGCCATTGGTGCTGACACCCACAGAAATAGCTGGGTATTTCATCTGAAGAACAGCCTGTACTGGATAAAGGATAGCCTTGCTTCTACGAGAGCATGCATCTCAACAATCATCAGGTACAAATCATTAAATATTGTGTAGTGCTCGTAGTTTTTTCTTCCCTTTGTCTGAAGACTTTTTATAATAATCATTTTCAGTAACAGGAAGCTCAAGAGCATGTAATATTTCATCCCTGCACCCAAGAAGAAATGGAGGGCCAGCTGCTTTGATGGTGCAAACCAATGGGATTTCCATTTTTTTCCTACAGAGCTATTTCACCCTGAATAGCCCTCAGATTGTGTAGACCAATTGACACAAGTCAGTCAACTGAGACTCACAGTGAATTTATTCTATATGCAGTTTTGGAGAAGTGGTGACCTGTCTGTATAGCTCAGTTTGTTGAGATGATAACCAATACCCTTGTGTGCTACCTTCTGTTACTAGCAAGGTTCTAGCAGAGTAACATACAAAATACACATGAAGGAAGTGAAATAAGAGAATTCGTTTACTTTCCCTAAGCAATTATAAAAATGTCCTGATGATCCCAATATGCTTACCATAGCATAGTGAGACCATGATTAGCACTTAATTTGATACTCTTCATTTGTATGTTAATTAACTTTGGCAACAGCAATCAATAATTGCACAGATAGGTAACAAATTCAACCAATCTGCAATGTGAAGTAATCAGAAGGAAACCATACTTGAGTTCTTCTTCGGACATGGCAAATACATTTGGCTATCAGAGGAGTCTGTATTTATTTTGTGTTTATTGCTGACCTGGGGAAAAACAGTATTTCCAGAGGAGGGAAGTATGAAAAAGTAAAGAACAGAATGAAACTGTGATCTGAATGCTGTAATGCCTTTTTGGTCAGGCTTGTAATTCAGGAAGACTTTGAAATAAAAACATTAAATGTACATTTCAAACTCGGATATATCCAAGCCATAGAGTAGATGGTTGGAGCACTCAAACTGGCTTTGCAGATTACTTACAGTGACAGAGTTAAGCAGCAGGTTACTATCTCTGTGTTCATTTTCCTGCCAGAGGTTCAGTGGAGCTCCCCTTTGGGTGTGCACAACTGTTTTCACGAGTGAATGTTGGCTGCTACTTGTTCTGGTCTCTGATTTCCTTGTTGAGAAAGTCAATTTTTATGTTGCAGGCTGGAGGTAGAGTGCAAACCAAACAACAGACATAGGCAAGGAGTTGCTAAGATACCAGGACAAGATACAACATTCGATCTGTATTTTTCTCAGTCCTTTAGGCACTGTGCAGTTTCTAGTTCATCTCCTGGCTTAGGAACCCTGAGAATCCAGTAAGTAATCTACCACACCACTCCTTTGGTCCCCACTGAGGATGACAACCTCTCAGGTGTCTGCCATTGAAACTCGCTCTAATGGCTGCCTTATTCAGTCTGCCCCCACAAGATTCTTTAAAGCTTCTCGCCTTATTTGCACTTCCCATTTTGATGATCTGCATCCCTAAAGCCCTAGGAGTAGGGACACCAAACCTCTAACATCCTCCTTCCTTATTTAACTGTGAGGTTAAATATTAGCCAGCAGTAGCTCAACAAGGATTTCAAATTACCATTTCGGTCTAATTACTTGAGGGAATTCCCGAGGAAGGAAGGATAAGCTGCACAGCTACTCCTGGGCACTGTGAGACTGCACATGAACTTGTGGTTGGGTGCTGTCCTCCTATTGCTTTCCTCCCTTTCCTGGTGCAAGCATACAGCCCATGGCAGAGGTAGTGGTGAGCCTTCAGGTGAGATTTCAGGCTCACAGTCACTGCAGGACTGTATTCACCCATCCGAGCTCTGAGTGAAGAGCAATTGCATGACTGGTGAAGTCCATGCCTTGCATTTCTGTTGCTGTGCCTATTTTGCCTACCTCTGTTCTCTCATGTGCTCTGTGTCACAATAGGTACCCAGTATATAACAGTGTCCTGAAAACTTGCCCAGTAAAGATTGCAGCTGCAGCCAGACTGTGCTCAGAAAAAGGAAGCCCAAGTAAGCCACTTGCCACTGACCTTTGATTCAAATGCCAATGTTTAGCAAGCAAATATTTAGAAGCACACCATTAAGCAGGGAGGCACAGCTTTACCACAGTGAATGTCATCAAGAGTGCCTCAGAACAGGCTGACAGCTTTCTCTTTCTCTCCTTCTCCCAGTGGAGCAGCCTGTTGCAGCCACTGCCTCTGCAGTCAGGCTGCCTGCAGCAACTGGAATGAACTCAGTATATGCCAGCTCAGCCTTAGGACCTGATCCTAACCACTGTCTGTGGTTGGAACCCACATACTGGGCAGTGTTCATGAAATTAGTTGTATTGGTCAGGTGCAGTAATAGGTTCAGCAGTAGTGGGTATTTTTGCCTCAGGAGTGGCTTAGAATTAGCTGTGTCGGTCAGTTTATAATTAGATATTTGTATCTAACAGGATTATTTTTCTGTTAGGTGTTTATAGTTTTGTCTCTTCTTTTTTAAATATGATAAATAATCTTTATATATATGTATTTTATATATATACACCCTGAAAGAATATCTATAAAAAGGGAGAATCCTTGTCAGGTGGATGCTGCAGCAGAAAAACCCAAGCCACAGGCAGGGCAGTGGTAAGCTTCCCTTTTCCGAAGCCACTCAGAGGTTAACCAGGGTCTGTAAGAAAACAGCTTAGTGAAGGAACACAGCTTAATGCTGGGGCTGCCTCAGGGATGCCAGCCCCTCGTGGAGCCACTGGCAGCACACAGGGGCAGCCCTCGCCCTCAGCAGCACAGCAGGGAGCCCTTTGGGGAGGTCTGGGACTTGGCTGGGACTGAGGGAAGTCGCAGGAGGGAGTGTTTCTGTCTTGCAGGCGGACGCAGGCAGATGTATATGCATAAAAACCCTGGAAGAGGAGGGCTGTTGAACACACCCACACCTCCGTTTGCTTGGCAGCACTGGGCTGCTGAATGCCAGTACAGCATCGTACCGGTACCGAGGAGCTCTGCCCATGGGCTGGTGGCTGCTGCTGCTGCTTCTGCTACAGGCAGGTGAGTGCTACATCCCACGCTCCATCCCTCCCCCCTCCCCCCCCACCTACCCTGGACAGCTTCTCCCCTTGCTGCCAGCTTTGCCTACTTCACCCATAGTATTTGCACTGCCTTTTTTTTTTTTTCTCTTCAACTTTGTAGTGTGGGACTGTGTAAGCAAGCTGTGTGCCTGTTTTGTTTCCATGGTGGCTTCAGTAGCAAAAACACAGATTACTTTCTTTTGAGGATAATTTTCTGCTACAAGGTTGCTGGTGTTGGTGCTTCTTTGCAGAAGTGCCTTCTTTCTATGTTTCTGCCAAATGAGCCATCTTCATAGAATCACAGAATGGTTGGGTTGGAAGGGACTTCAAAGCCCACCCAATTTCAGCCCCATACTGTAAGCACAGTTGCCACCCACCAGATCAGGCTACCCAGGGCCTCATCCAACCTGGCCTTCCTTTCATACAAAATTCAAAACAAAAATAATCCTTTAAGAAAAGCAATGAATGTCTGCTAACATAAAGACCTTGCACGCAGTAGCACTGTGACAGTGAATTGTCTGAGGTTCTACCTGTGCTATCACTGTTGGGATTCATGCCCATAAGAACACACAGTCAGAATTCACACAAAGGCCTCTATTTTAATTCTGCACAGAATTAGGTGCCTGGTGATCCTTTGCAAAGCAAGTACATCTTGAATGGAAGTGAGGTTATTTACACGTAGCTGTTAAAAAAACAAAACATTTTTCTTTACAGTATCTAATTGATTACTGCATTTCAAACTTCACTGGGAATGTGTATCATGGAGTGGAAGGCTATAGATTTGGGAAGGAATAGCTGGTGTCCCACTTTAATCTCATCCCCTTAATGATAGGTGTATTTCTTAAATATGCAGTTATGCCTTAAAGAACCAGAAAGTGATTTATAGGACACTTTCTCATCCATTCTTTTTGATATCAACACATCATTGTATGTTTGCCATACTTGCGGCTAAATTGTTTCTTTCTCATTCATTTTTTGCATATCTGTGATCAACTGTTTATACTTTCTTGTGCTTGGCAAACTAGAATTTCCACCCTTTGAGACTGTTATGTCTACTTTCTTGTCCTGGTGGGCTGTATCTGTAGCACTGTTTTTAAAAAGCAAACCAAAAAAAACCCATTGCCTTAATCTACAACAAAGGCTGCTTGTCTCAAAAGGAAATAGCAGGTTTAAGTTGTCAGACCCACCTCCTCTCGTCTCCTTGCAGGTATGCTCCCTGCTGAGGCTCCCCATTCATTGTATAGCTAATGATAGACCATACTGTAATGGGGGTTGTGGCTGATTTCAAGCTGCTGGGGAGACTTGTCTCTCACTGATTCCACACGTTTTGCTTAGCTGCCCAGCATAGAAAATGCAGTTTTGGTTCTGCTCCAGTTATTAACTGAACACTTGATAGTGAAATTGCTTTCTAAGGCCAGCCATCAGCTACAGTACCTTGCTGCCAGCTCTAAGCCCACCCAGATTTCAAAGGATAAGACAAACATGAGATGCTGCCTGAGTATCTTAATTATGTCAAACTCTCAAGGAGCAAAGCCTAAGGCCTTTCTTCTGGACTCAATTCCCTCTGGGTCCTTTTCTCTGCTTTCATAACTAACTCTGTGCAGTAATTACAGTTCCTTGATCCTCAGAGATATCCCCAAAAGAAGAATAGTCTTTCTTCTGGGTGAGGCAGTTACCTTACACCAGCCTCTGTTTCCAGGCTGAGTACAGTGGTCCCACCTTAAAAGGTCAGGAAAGATGGCTGAAAAATAAACCAGGCTCTTTCTCAGGAAGAAGGTTGAACACCTACAAAGAGGTTTCTGTTGGAATGTTTTTAGGTCTGCAGTCTAAAGAAGGTTGTAGAAGTGTGATTTTTTTTTTTTTTTTTTTTGCCTGAAATCCAGAGCAGTTCAGCAGTTTTGGTGGTGTTACTTGTGGCAGTGCTGCTGACTGTGAAGCATCCACTGTTTAGACAAGGGAAACAGGTCACCACTTCACTTTCAAACAACATGGGTTTAATGTGTTTTTAGCACAAAAACTGAACACTCAAGTAGTGTTCAGGTGAGGGGAGTTGTTACTTTTTCAGGAATGTGCATTTAATCCCTGAGGAGTGCACTGGAAACATAAGGAGGCTGTGTGAAGGCCTGAGACAGGGGCTTTGCTCTTCTGAGCTGGCTGCAGCCAGCTGCTGGGGTAAAATGATGACAGAAGCAACGGGGGGCTGGGCTGCAAGCCCTCCATTAGCAGAGAGGAGCAAATGGACAGATTGATAGTAATGGGGACAGACCCACATTGCCTTCAGAGAGATCTGGATCAAACCCAGAAAGTGAGCTGGAGTACAAGAGGGGAGAGGCCCAAGAGAGGGGATTAGATGACTGGGTTTTAAAAGGAAAGTAACAGTTTTAATAATAGTATTGAGTCTCCGAGTGGTTTAGGGGATTAATTAATCCGTGTTTGCACAGTACTATAAAGAGGTCCAGCTCAGGGTCAAAGCCCTGCTCTGTGTTGTGAGCTCCTTCAGGCTCCAAAATGCTGAGAGCCCCATCCTAAGCTCAGGCCATCTAACAGCCAGGGGGCAGTGGGGCCAATGCTGGGGAGCCTGGCAGCACCTCCAAGGGGTTTGGTACCAGCAGTGAGCAGCCCAGCCTTAATGGGGATGGGCTGTGGTGCATGTTGGTAGAGCCCAAAGTACACTTGGTCGTTCATTGTGAGCCCAGGAGGGTAATCGCTAATCACTGCTGTTTGTTGCATTGTTATTGTGATAAGCATCAAAGCTCCTATCAAGCTTCAAAGTGATTTATGTGTTTGGGGCTGATACTCTTGGTTTCTGTAACAGTTTCTGCAACTGAGTTGGTGGTTCTCTTTATAAAGGAAAAAGAAAAGTTTTAAATTAAACATTTGAAATCACGATATTATTTGAAAGATCTGTAACTCAAAAAACTCCAGATTGGCTTAGGTGGCTGTCTGAACTTCAAGTAACAACTTCTTGTTTTTTCCTGGTTTTTTTTTTTTTTTTTTTTTCTTCCCCAAATTTATGCAGCCAACTTAGCATTATGACTTAAGTGGACTGTAGTAACAGAAACAAATGTGTGTTGCCAGTGCTTCAAAATGCTCATAAGAAAGCCATTATCCGTGCATCCTAGCTAACTTAGGCCCTCTGTCTTGAACAAAGTATGCCTTGCAGGCCTGAGGGCTTGCAGCTGTTTCTGGATGAAAGCTAGTAGTACTGTCAGCTCTGTATGATCTGGAAAACAAGTTAAAGTATCATGAATAATACAAGGCATGTTGGGCAACAGAGAAACCTCATGGTTGTTTTTTTTTCTGTGGAGTTAGGGTGCAGTCAGGCAGTATGCTGGCTTACTGCTGCTTCACAATGCACGAGGATCTTGGCCTAGCCAATATGCTCTGCCAGGTTGGGAACTCTACAGTGCAGTGAACCTACTTGACTCTGCATGGAGCTTGCATAACCCCAGCCAAGATGAACTTCTCAGATTCCATAATGTGCAAATCTGGGCATGCAGCTTCAAATTGCAATGTAGCTTCAGGTGCAATCTAGCTACAGTCACACACTGGTGCACCAGAGCAAGGAAGTCTGGCTTATCTGAGCTGCCTATATGGAGTATGTTTGCATATCAGTTCCCTTTGCAGGGTGAACATAATGGCTAGTTAGATTGTCAAGGCTCGATCTAAATAACTGATCAAGACCAATAATCTCCCTGTGACGGTTTTAAGAAAATCAGCGTATTTTTAATCCTTGTGTGAAACCATGTCCTGTCTTTGCAGTTTGGAAAAGTACTCTGGGAAAATCCCATTCACTACACACCCGAGGAATCATTGAATTGGCAGGAGCTATATCATGTGGCACGGGACGGTCTCCCTTGGCATATATTGGCTACGGATGTTACTGTGGACTGGGAGGACGAGGCTGGCCTAAAGATAAAACAGACTGGTAAGAAAAACCTCAACTGTGTGTCCAAAAGCAGTGTAGATCTCCATATTCTTCCCTATCTGCACTCCTGTGCCTCTAAGAACTCACTACTGAGGAAATTTAATATTTGTCCACTATGAGCAAGGAGCTGTGTACCATCTGGTGTTTGAATGAGGGCCTTGCCACCTCCTGGATGAGAGCAGAGCTCCTGGGACCTTGTACTATGTGGGTGGAGGGCGAGGAAGAAACCAGGATATGAGCTCATTAAATAGTACATCCTATAGAAGGCAAGCCCTGCATGAAGAGATAGGAGTGATTAAAAGGTTTGGATGATCAATTCATGTCTTCCTGAAAATGGCAGTGATAGGAATATTACTGGTCACCCTCTGGAGGGATCTAGAATTTTGCAAGGAGTTAATCAAACCTGTTGTCTTCATCACCTGTCTGTTTAAAGCAAATCAAGCAAGAAAAACAACTGTTTAGAACGTGGTAGTACTTCCCCTTTTCCTTGCTGTGCTTTTTATTTCCAAGAGTAAAAATGAATTGATGAGATGTTGCAATGAAAGGCTTCTTGTACTTTGCAGTTACCATACATGTAAATCTTTAATGTGATGGACTTTGGTGTGCTCTGAGCCCTTTACGTGCAATCTGGTCTCATTTAAAACCTCAAAGGCAGAGCACACAATTCTATCTGCTTTTATCTGCAGTCAGCAAGTCAGGTGTTATCCACACACTAGAGCAGCTTTTCTCAGAAGGGAAGACAATGCATAGCTCACTGGAAAGGAAATTGACTGAGCTTTCCAGGGTGCAAGATGCCTAGGCTAATGACCATTTCCTCGGTGGGCATGAAGGAGCAAGGAGCTATTTAAATGAGTGCATCTCTCTTCATTAATGCAGGGGAAAGTTTCCCTCCCAAAGCCATTTTTTCACATCTTTGGTTTATGGGTGCTGTCTGTGAAACATTCAACATAAGACTTAGGAAAAAAAAAAATGAGTAGCTAGCAATGATGTGTCCTAGGTTTCAGGCCTAGAGATTACTGCTAATGTTTAATAGTACCTCTTGATATGCTTGTAACCATCTACAGCTGTGATTGTAAATATTTTAATCATTTTTGTTTTAACCTTTATAATCTCTTATCATCAAGACTCTCACAGTCAACTCTTTAAAGTAAAACATGACTTCACTAATTTGAATACTTCATTTGCTGAAGGCCCAGATGGAGTCACCTAGAAGCCGTTTTCCACAGATATTCACTGGTACCAGGTTTTGGTGACTCTGGGTGATGCAAGTGCTCAATACTCCTGAAAAATAGAGAGCAACATCTGATCAGGTATTCATTGGTGGATGTTTCTGCTGCTCTTTGATTTCCATGGGATGTGAATTTTATCCTAATGGCAGAAAAAGGTAACTCTGCAAATGGAAATGTCTCTAAATACCAGAGAGTTAGGTATTTAGAAAGCTTGATGCTCTAAGAGCATTCATTTTTGTTGCATAGCAGTAATGCTTGGTGAAAACCAGAAAGATTTTTTAGTTTGATTCTCAGCTAGGAAGAATTAGCAATGACACTACATTTAGTTAGGAATGTTTCCAGGCTGTGTTCACCAAAGAAATCCTCTGATACTGCAAAAATCATTGTGGCTGAGTATCCCATGCCAGTTACAGTGACCACATTATTTTCCATATTTGCAATTCTAGGGAAGAAAGATGCAGAGTGGTAAAGCTGCAGGCCTTGAAGGACACACACAGTTGAAAATGATTCACCTCATCTTGTCTGTTTTAGGAGTCTCAGTAATAAACCTAGGAGTGATTTGCTTGTGAGTAATTCAGTCAGTCTGTCTAGACAGGGCTAGAGCGCTTTTCAGCATCCCTCTTTCATGGAGGAAGAAAAGGTGCTATTGAGTGGGTAATGGTTTTATAAGGTTTATTCCACATTCTGACTTCAATGCGGTGTTGCCAGTTTTTCCTTTTGTTCCATAATCTCTTCACTTCTAGTCATGATGGCATTTCTTTTCCATAACGTTGATAGTTTTGTTTCTCCTTCCCAGTTCTGTTTCTTGCATTACTGCACCACAACTGAAAGGACTGCTGCCATAATGTCTGCATTTCCCTGGGCTTGTCGCCTTATTTTTTTCTCCTAGAAATGTGATGCATAGGATTTAGTGCACAGCTTGGACATGGCACCACCCTTCTGCTTGAGATTTCCTGGAAGGAAGCATCCACATTCCCACTTATGCAAAGCAAATCCATAGAAACCCTGAGGAAAGGTATTTAGGCAAAATCCATTTTGCCGAGCAGGACCCAAAAGTGCTCAGAATCTCCCCGAAAGCATCGGTGAGATGAGGGGCAAACTCAGTCCTGGCAAACTCAGAGATTTCCTCTCTGTTTTTTGGGTTAAAGCACCATGGGGATGGCTGAGCTGTTTACATGACAAACACACTGTGACAAATTCTTACCTTGAAGGCAGCAGCTGTGCTCACTGCAGGGGTCAGATTAGGCCAGTAGAGTTGTCTGTAGTCACTAGGGCTGTCTGATCCCACCAGATGATGTGTCAGTTGTTTGTTAACTAGATGAACCCAGTTGTTTTTGTCTTTTATAATTACTGACCAGTGCTCTGCCATACTGTTGGCGGGCATTGTTTGAGTTAGTGTGACTGAGCATTAGCAGGCTATTAAGAGTTCAACACCACATTCTGACCCAGATGCGGGAAGGGACATTTCCAGATAGAACAGATGTCTGAAGATGGCAAAAGGATGATAGATTTCCTCACTCTTCATACCTTGGCAGTCTTTTCAAAGCAGCTAAAATATGAGTTAGTCTTCTCACTTTGTGTTGGTATCACTCTCTGTAGGAGGAAATGGTGTTAATGGAAGCAGAACTGTTCCCCAGTTCCTGTGGCCCTGCAGAATTCATGTAACTGCCCTGACTTTCACTAAGAGAGCTAAAAACAGCTGGCTTTCACTGCTAGCTGGCTTACCTCTTCTGCTCTCTTTTTGTTGTCTGATTTATAGACAATCTTCTACCTCCAACAAGATCTTGTCTCAGAAATCTATCTCTCACTGTACTTTTTTTTTTTTTCCTGTTTATTCCTTCTATGACTCTCCCTGAAGGGCAGTTTCATTCCTTTGGGTTGAAGAAAGCTGAGACTTTCGTGCTTTCTACAGTGAATTCTTTTTTCCTTTGCCCTTTCACTTCCAGCATCTTCAGGACAAGCCCAGGAGTGAGGTGCTCTGGACCAACGGAGATCTGAACCACATGGCCATCATGCCCAACAGAGCTGGTTCTGTGGGCTGAATAAGCTCACCTGCTGAATTACAGAAATTGTTGTCACTCTTAACAGGAAAACCTGTAGGTATTTATATCCAGTAAGGCTGCTTTCCATTCTGAAGCTCTTTGAGGAAATGTTTGTTCCTCTATAGCGTGCCCATGGGACAGCTTCTGGAAACAGGAGATGGCTCCTCCCTGACTCCAGCCTGTGATGTATCACTCTTGCTGAAACAAACCTTGTTGCTCATCATAGAACTTCTTCAATTGCTGAATCTTTCACTAAATTACTGGAATAAAATTCGAGTAGGATGAAGTTTTCCTGTGTATTCTGAAGCACTTAGCAGAGCAAATGTCCTTCCTGAGTAGTCTTGTGGTACAGACAAAAGCTGAGCTAGCCACCTTCAGCCCTCTCTATGGTCAGTGACAGGCAATCAGTACTTTCAAATGTGTTGTTTTTCACCTGTTAGATCCCTGCAATATGATCATGTGAACTGTGCTCTTGATATACAGGAAGGGAGCATAGATCAGTCCCTTGTGTCCCTTTATGCTTACGGTCATAAAGTCAGCTGCTATGAATCCCACTTCTGAGGATGATGAGTTTGTAGCCAGCTGCTACACTGATGCCAAGGAAAGTGAAAATCATCCTGACACCAGATTCTAAGATGATCCAAACCTCAGCTGGTGAGCCATGGTCACGCACCTCATCATAATGCTTCAGCTCCTTTCAGTATGGCGGATTACCATGATCTGGGGATTGGCCACACCTGTTTTTCTGAAGGCAAAATCATAGAGAAAGAAGAAACGTGTGGTATTCATGGGGACAAACATGGCATTAATATGCTCTCAAGACAAGAGAGCATTCATAGAAATGCCATAACGTTGTTTGTTGATTTACTGACAGAGCTGTAATTAGCGGTGGGTGAGTGGAGTAACCTTGCAGTGCCTGAAAACACCAGTGAGCAAAGTATGCAGGATGCCCAATCCCAAACTCTGCCTTTTGTTCTCCCTAAGGTGCTGCCACAGGCATGACTGCTGCTACGACAAGGCAGAGAGAGAGGGCTGCAGTCCGAAGGCACAGCGCTACCAGTGGGTGTGCGAGCAGAATGCCGTGCGGTGTGGTAAGGACACAGTAGCCTGTGTTAGTTCCCTCCTTCCTCCACAGAAACACTGCCTAACACAAAAGCTTTGTGTGCCTCAGAGATGGGATTTTGAGGCTTTCAGAGTTGAGTGATTTCAAGTGCCACAGGCACATACAGTGTGTGTAGGCTTGCTCAGCTCTACAGCTGGTACCAGTCAAGGAGGTCTTGAATTGCACAGTAGCAACCCGTCAGTAGTACACACCAGTTTGTTTTGACATGCACCAGATGACTTGAGTCTTAGAATTTGTCACTTCTATATTGAAGTCTTCCAAAAGTCCCTGATGGTAAAATCTTTTGTATAGCTCTTTGAAAGTTTGAAAAGGAATGTGTGAGAGTAAAACCTGTCCCCATGCCATCAGAGCTACTTGCTTGAAAACTGAGTTATTTCTACCTTGCTAGAAGATCATATTCTTCCAGTACAATTCCCAGCCTCCCCAAGCAGCTGAAAATGCCAGCAGACAGAGGGTGTGGCACCACACATTCACTGTATATACTTTCCCTGTTCAAGAACCATCTATTAAACTACGTACTGGCTAAGGAATATTTTGCTAGACATTACTGCTCTTTTGATTTATCCATTTTGTATTTTAGTAGCTAACTGATATTTTCTGCTAGCTATTTCAATATGTAACTCATCATTTTTGATCCTGATTGCAGATGTGAAGTTTATCATCAAACACGTGAGGCATGCAATGCTGTCCCGTAACAATGGGCTGCACTTGTTCCAGCCTGCCTTATAAGCTTTAGTTAAATGCCATATATTCCTTAACTGATGTCCAGGCAAGGCCCCATGAGCAACTGGTAACTGTTCTCCCTGAATAATCAACAAACTTCACTTTCTCTTATATCCACGATGGAGAGGAGCAATGGAAATGTTCTCTGAAGGGTTATTTCCTACCCCAGGCTGCAGCAGGTTTCACTGAGGTGTGAAGGTGTGACGTCTTACTCTGTTCAGACAAAACAAATGAAGTGTTGTAGTCTGAGGCACATTTACTGGATCTAGAGGAATGATATCCAGAGAAATTACAAGCAGAACTGCTTTCACTGTACATGCTATGAAAGAGGAAATTAAATGCCTGTGGCTTGGCACTGTATCCTAAACACAGATATTTTCAGGTAAATTAAACAGAAACTCATTTTACCTGGGATTCCTCTCCGTCGTTTGCTACTGCTATGCAATTTTGCTTGTGAAATGGAGGGGGAGGGGGGGGGGAAAAAAGCAAAGCCATATATTTCAGTTAGGCCATCACACATAAGTATGGTAAATATCTGGAATACAAAAAAAAAAAAGGCTTTGAGCTGTGGGGTCTGCTCAGAAAAAAATAAAAACAACATTGTGCTCTTAGAACTGGCTTACAAGGCAGGCTCTCTCTGACATTAGGCTGGCAGTGATTGGCATAGCACAGGAAGACCTCAAGAAGCAGTGGGCAGGGAGAAAACCAGGCAGTGTTGATAGCTAATTAAGAAAAGGACTTAATGCTGAGTCCTTGTGAATGGGCCCATTGAAACCCTTCAGCTGTAGACACATGATTCTCCTCAGAAAATCTTTGAAAGCAGGGACTCTGTGTATTTATTAGACACGGTGTTGATCCAGTGAAGTCCAGTGAAATCTGGAAAGATTTCTACTCATTAGAGTTAGTTTTGGAGCAAAGCCTGGGCACACATGCATGAAATTACACTTTAAACTTTGCCTACTGTAGGCTTTGGAGGGTGTTAGATAATCAATAGGACCAGCTTCAAATAAACAAAGCACCGTGCTTTTAGGTAATATCAGCTTAATGTTTTTAAGATGCCTATAGGTGGGATGGGATTTGTTATATGAAAATTAGTCCTTTGCAGTGCATCCACCTGAGCTAATTGCTTCTATGTTCCCTGTGCTCCTTACCTAGTTATGCAGTTGTGTGATTACATTCTATATAGCTTCATGTATATGATTTGGATCAGCTCCTGTAGATTTTGACTAAAAGAAATCAGCTAACCCTGCTGCTGAGTTCCCTGGTTCCTCTGCCTCCTCCCATGACCTGTATTCCCTTTTACAGCCTTGCTCGCTCTTACAACTGCTCATCCCCTTGATCCAATATAGAATCTTTCATCTCTTGTTCATCTTCTTTTGCAGATAACCTGACAGACCCATGTGAAAAAATGGTGTGCCTGTGTGACCAAGAAGCAGCCCAGTGTTGGGGAACAGCCCCTTACAACCCACAGTTTGTCCTCTGGCCAGACTTTCTATGTGGGCAGACTCATCCAACCTGCCATTTCAGATATGGAGGGTCAAAATAGTTTTTAAAGGAACTTTCTTCTAATCCTTTGAATCTGAACACACTGGAATAAAATTTTACCTCTTTTACCAGAGCTAACGATAGCTTGAGAAAATTTCTTTTAGGCCATAATTTATGGGAAGGAAGAATAGGGTAAGATACGTGCATCTTCTAATTTCTGAGGGAAGAATAAAACCCTACTTTCCTATCTTTTTTCCAAAAACATGTTAGGACACATTGCTTGTCAATAAATGGCTGTTTTGTCCTTTCATAGCAACCTGATCTTTAGCTCCCACATGTTTGTACATCAATTGGAAAATAGGTAGAGGCTTCTGCTGGACTTGTTAAAAAAAAAAAAAAAAAAAAGAGAGAAAAAAGGTATCAGTAAAAAAAGATGATTTTGAAGAGCTGGGGCATGCCAGTGTTGAAGTACAGTGATCCACTTTATCTTCCTAGAGCTGCAGGAGCAGAAACAACGGAAAGGGAGGGATCCTGAGTATTTGTTATGGGCACTCAGAAAAGTGGCTGAGCTGCTTCCTACCGAAAGGAAGCGAAGAGCTCTTGCCCAGGGTGCAGCTCTATCCCTTCTTACAGAGACCACATGTTTCTGAGCTAATGTAGCCAGACATCTTCTCCCCTATGTTCTTGCCTCACAATGCTGGGGACACTTCAGGGGAGTTTAAAAGAGGGGCAACCTAGACTGGATATGAGAAGAATGGGGGTTTTTTTGTTTTGTTTTTTATTGTAAGAGTAGTGAAGCACTGGAACTGCCTGACTGGAGAGATGGTGGGTGCTGTGTCCAAAGAGAATTTCAAGGTCAGGATAGACAGGGCAGTGAGCAACCTGATGTAGCTGTGGATGTCCCTGTTCATTGCAGGGGAGTTGGACTAGATGATATTTAAAGGTCCTATCCAACTAAAACGATTCTATGGTTCTATGGTTTTCTGTGAAAAGGTAAGCAAAGTCACACTGGAATATTTCTGGTGCGTGGGTTTTTGACTTTTACCAGGAGGATCACCTACACTGTGAAAAAGAGCATGTTCCTCACAAGTCATATGTGTGTGCTTCACTCACTGATGTGCAGCTCTGCTATACAGTTATGGGCACATTCCCCTGCCACTGACCTCCTGGGGACCAACTACTGTCATGTCAGGGGACTCAGGCTATAGAGAACATTATTTACAGCAACCAAACCTTCAATATTTTTTCCTTACGGTTTATATATGAACGTTGTGCTTCCTGCTGGAAGAGTAAAACTAAACCCTATTTTTTCAGCATGAGGTAGCATTCAAGTGATCCTTTGCCTCTTTGTTGCAGAACTGTAGGCTGGAGCAAGCCAACTGGACAAGAGCCTCTGCACCAAGATGGAAAAGTTGCTAGGGAGATGAGAACACCCCAGAAGTCACACATTCTGGGCAGGTAAACAGGGATACCCCTGGGCAGGTGTTAGCATGTGGAAGCTTTCATTCTGTTCGTTTTTAACAGTGCTGGCAAACTTGGAGTACTTTTGAGATAATATGTAATCGTAGGGAAAGATCTGAACTATCCCATCAGAGTCCAGATAAAGAGATAGGTGGCCAGATTGAGTAGGCCCTCAGTAGATAACAGTACAAATTCCTTTTAAAAAGGTTGTTTTGCTCTTCACGGCAGGAGGCTGTTGAATATGCCACTGTGGCTGTCAAGGCTGCGGGAAAATAAACATATTGCAAATGCCAAAGACAACATGTGCTGAGGCAAAAGCTTTTATTACATCTAGAGCCTCCTTTTTGGCTTACAGGGCATGATAAATTACTTTGTGCTTAGCCTTTGCATCTTCTGGTGTTTCGTGAAGCTCTGCAGGTCAAGCTATGCTGAGTAAGAAGAAAAAGAAAGAGCCGGGTTAGTGCAGCACAACAAACTCTCCCAAGGCAATCTGGCAAGGCAGTGTGTTGGGAACTCCGCTCTCTCAGTGTTTTTGCAGAGGACTGATGCTGCGTGGGCAGAAGTGGACTATGCTGTGCTCAGTAATGCTGCGGGGAGAGGGAGCAGAGCTCCTGGCCGCTCCTATGTCCCCTTCTCCACTACAATGGCCATCAGAGGGCGGCAGCGCTCCAGTGAGGAGCGAGCGCAGCTCTGCGTGGCTTTTGTGCCTCGGTTTGGTTTGATTTCAGCAGGTTGAATCAGATTTTTGAGCGTTGGGAGAAGAGAAAATAAAAATGGGTTTTTCAGGAGTCCTGTTTAGCAAAGTTTCCAGTGAGCTGAGCTCGTTCATAAATGCACACCGCATCTTGGGTTGCACAAAAGGGGAGCTAAACTTGTTTTGAAATCCAGCCTTTGGTGTCAGCTTACTATTATTAGACCAGATGACTGACCTGGAAAATATAGGTAAGCTTTTGGGTACGCCAAACTCTCCTCAGGTGACCTCTGGCTAGTGGTAAGTAAATGTCTAATTCCAACCTAAGTTTAAAAAGGCATTTTTGGAAGCAAGTAACTTCCTAGCAAGTTATGCCAGGTTTTGTTTTGTGCTCCATACCTTGTTGAGAGCCTTGTTTCATGCAGAGGATGCATCTCCTTAGCTGTGGGGTTAAAATGATAATCAGAACTCCTAGGCCTCCAATACCAGCTGCCACAACCCCAATGATTGTTCCAATAGATTCTTCTATACCAAACAAGCCTGAGGGACAAAAAAAGGCAGAGAGCAATGTAAAGTGTCTTTCAGGCAAGCAAATGCAATGCAGCTAGCACAATTTCTGCAATGTCAATAGGGAAGCTACTTACAATGGTATTGATTACACAGATGTCTTGCCTGACATGACATTGCTGGCTTCCACACAGGAGAGAACGTATTGCACAGTGGAGTTGATTTTTTTCATTCCTTGGTAGGAAGCTGCTACGTTTTCTGGGGGATTAGTGATAAGACAGTTTCCCTTAACAGTCAAGTACTGTTATGAAACAGCATCAAAAGGTGTGCACAGCTCTGCTGCAGTCCTTTCTTTTATTTGTTGTTCTTTGGGAACACGGTAGGGATAGAATTATCCCATTTTCTGTGAGATGCACACTGGAATTCTACCTTTGTTATTTGTTCAAACTGGAGGATGATTTGGGAAGAGCCATTGGTTAGGTTAGCACATTAGCATGGTCTCGGACAAGGATTATGGAGTGTACTGTGAGAAGCACCTGCCCTGTGATGGCAGAGCCTGCTGGAGGATAAGTGTACTTGTAGAGAGAGGGAACTGGCTGGACAATGGCACAAAGACTGATCTGATCAGATTTTAAGTGACTGCCCTGTGGTACTCATTGTGCCAGGTGACTCATCCAGGAAGGATAATAAAAGAATAATTTAAAGCCTTTCAGTTTCATCTGCCCTTAGAATACAATCAGGCATTCATGATATATGTGAAACTAGTTGCATTTAAGCTTCATGAGAAAAATTGGATAGTGTTGCTAATGTACTGACTATAAGACAAATCCTGAAATCTTTCATCAGTTTTAATCAGCACTTAATTAGTCTAACTCAGGACACCTACCACCAAGTTGCACAGGCAAGACTGAGAAGAAGCAAGGGTCCGTACAGAAAAGATCCAACTGTTCTGGTGACCCTTGTCTTCATGCACATGCTTAAGACAGACCCACCAATAACTATAGCTGCATGCCCAGTCAGCAGTGATAACCAGAAATGAAACCTATTGCACAGATTTCCAAACATCTGTTCAATCATTCATAGGAGAAGCTGCTACTCTCTGCTACCTTGATGAATAGATGCACACTCAGCTGCTCACCAGTGAGTGAGCTGTAGCTCACCAGTAAAAATCCAGCCCCCTCTTCCCAACTGTCCTGCAGTTAAAGTTCATTTTTGTGGCTGCTTGTTGAATTGGAAGGACAATGGTGCTGTAGAACCATTGCTTTCTTCACTTCAAAATATATGTAATTTGCTTCATGTAATGGAGAATTTAACATTGTCATCTAATTTCTCCTTTTCATTTTAGATAAATTGGGGGGCAGTCTTGATCTGTGGCACAATTCATTTATTTGTGAATTATATTTCTCATGTTCTCTCATCCCCCTAATTTAGGTGTAGTGCAGAAATGATGCATTTCATCTTCTCAGGAACACAAAAAGGCAATTACATTGGCCAGGGAGCAGACACTGCAATCGTAGCATGCACTACAGAGAATATGAGCTCAAGCCAGTGGGAGACCTCATAAGATACATGGTCAGGTCCTCATGCACACCTTGCCTTGTTAGTCATGTTTTAAATTGAGTAGTTACGTAAAAATTAGTAAGGGAAGAATTCAGGCTCAAAAGGGCAAAGGCCTAGTGAATCTCAGTGAGTTGGAAGTTTCAATAATAAATATTGGGGAAATGGCACTTGCATGATATGCTCTTGACACAGAAGGTGATACTTTTTTTTAGGTAGATAATGAGATAATAAACCTTTTGATGTATTGATTTGTTGGGACTGAAATGTGCTTAGCCTTTATGAAAAGGAGAGCTGCTTTGACATTTCCATCTGATAAAGGCAAAACAAGCAATCTCCCTACTTCATATGCCTAGTGTATATTTGTGATGCTAAGAAAATATAGCATGGCACTTTTATAGCTGCTTTGATTTTAATGGGACTGAAGTTAAGCAGAACTGATATAACGTGATCCTTGTGCTTCACTGTGAGATTACTTATGTCATCCAGAGTTAAGGAATATGTAGATCAGTGCGTTGGGGAGAAGTAATGTCAAAAGAAAAGACTTGGAAGCTGTTTCCTGAGGTGATATCCTGATACCAGCCACTCAGAGGGGTTCTGACAAAGAGAGATGTGTACACAAGAGAACTTTTCTGACAGTTTTGTTCTTAGTGCTCACTAATTTTAGTGACAGAACTATTTCTTCCCTTTTTACTTGTAAATGATCCTTGTTACAATAATACTTGTCTGATTGTTTCTAGGAGCAAGCCAATCAAAATTAGCTAGCCTGAAAAAAAAATGAGAAATCCAACTATGTGGGGACATTGCATTACACTAGGCCATATGTCCTAGAAACCAAGCAGACTAATTTCACTCCTTCTGCAAGTGCTTAGACTAGTTTTGGAGGAGGAAGAGGGAGGAAAAAAAGAATATACAAATAACATCAAATATTACCTAGAGCCCTCCTGATCCTCAGCTTTGTCCCATCTCCTGTCATCACCTTCTTATCTGGAAGTGTAACCTCACAGAAATAGATACCGTGGTCACTGGTTGTCACATTGAGGATCACCAGGGAGACAGTCCCTTGGGACGAGTCTCCGCTCATGAAAACCCTAGAATTATTTGGCAGCATGGTCACATTGTTATCTAGCAGGTTTGTCTGTCCCTTTTCATCTTCTTTGTACCACCTCACTGACAGACCAGTCAGGGAAGGATGCTGTGGGCTGTTAAAGTGACAATTCAAGACCACAGTTTCACCCTCTTTGGCTTTTTCCTTGGCTGGTGTTTGAGTCACAGAAAATTGCCATCGCTCAGTCAGCAGTGGAGCCTGTGTTCTGTGAGATACCGTTGCATTCTCTTTGCTTGTGTTTCCATCACTAGCACCGACATCTGCATCAGAAAAGAGAAGAAAGAAGAGGGTTGAGGGCAATAGGATAATAGCTGTTTGTTCCTGACCCATGATGGTGGAGAGGAATGCCTCCCGGAATTAGGACCTAAGGGTAGTCACTGTTATGGCGATAACGTTTCTTTCCCTGGTTCCTGCTAAGATTATGTTCATGTGTGCAAATGTGAATGATCCTCATTTCCTGCTATACTTGGGGAGCACTATTGTCATTGTCCAGTGGCTTTGGATGAGAGTTACAATTTATTCAGAACTCTGGCCTGGAATTTTAACCTCCCACTTTTCACTCTTAAAGGTCTCAGGATCCCAACTGTTTTCAAGGTGCAGAAAGAAATGTACTTACTGTTACACAGAGGCAGTTCTGTTCTGACAAGTACAGAGAACTTGTGTGTGCCTGAATGCCTGCATCCCAAAACGTAACGTGAAGTTCTTAGGGGTTTCAGCATGCACTTCCAGTTCTAAGATAGGAAAATCTTGGGACCAGAGGAAGGAATCTCCTTTGTTAGGGACTGAGCTCCCATTCGATGCTATCAGCAACCTTGGGGATGGCATCTTAGTATGCTGCAGGTATTGATACTGAAAATACTGGTGTGAATGAGTTTTTCTAGAATGGTTATATGCTTTGCTCTCAGGACACAAAGATTTTATAATTCAGTAATTCCCAAAGACAAAGTTTAATTAATTTGAAGAGAAGATTTTCAAAGAGGCCAAAATTGAGAAGTCAGCAACACTCTTTGCAAGAGTGAAAATAAATTCCTTGCTGAAGTGTCTGTATGAGAATATAGAAAGCTGATGTCAGAGGGAGAATTAAAGGAAGGAGAATATATGACCTGGGGAGCCAAGGGAAGCTGGTGGTGAGAGGTGCTGACTTAAGTGCATTACACATCTATTTTACAAATAGAGCAGGAAAGTACAAAGATGGGACTTGATTGTTTGCCTAGCAGGAAGTTAGTTAAGCCATTCTGCCTGGGCAGTCCACTTTCTGTAACTATTTTTCAACAACTTAGAGCTACTGTGAGTTTTGTCCTGTTGGTTTCAACGTACAAGTTTTGAGCTGTTGTGAAAACATTCACTATATGAAATAGCCAACTCCATTTTGACAACCAACATCCTGAAACACATAGAAGGCACACCTGAAGACACTGCTGTTTTATTGTATTTTTAATTAAGAGGATTCCTGTCACTGGCTGACATCTATTCTCTGTGAAGGGATTACTTTATCCTGCTGCTTTTTGTTATAAAAATATAGATGATATGCCCATAATAGAGATTTAAATCTGCCTTCTTTCACACAACTGCTAATCATAGTATCAAGCAGGCTTGAGCTAGGAGCAATGCAAGTAGATCTCGTGTCTGGAACCAAGCCTGGACTAAGAAGATGAGAGGAATAGTTGCTGTCTCAAATCCCAAGCTGGAACAAAAAAGAAGGAAAAACAAACTCTTAACAATAAACCTACAGCATTAGCCAAGAAAAAATGCAAACCAATTTTTGGAAAAAGTTTTTTCTGTTGTTTTTTTTTTTTCTTTACTCAAGTCAATGCCCTCCCTCCTGATCACTGCAGACCATTCTAGGTGAAGGTCTGGATTCCCCAGCACCCAGAGTTGTTCACTGCCATGAAAATGATGTGGGATGTTGTTGTCTGGGGCCTGCTAGGATTTCTCAGTGACAATAGTCTCTGTGCTTCAGTGACAAATGCCTCAAGGCAATGGAGAACCAACTTCACTGATGGTCGGTTTGAGAAGTGCTTGCATGGCTCCTCCAGGCATGGTTGGGCAGGAAATTACAGTTGTTTTTGTAGCTATTGTCATTTATGAGTTGTATAATCATAAAGTAGGACTGACAGTTTCTGTCAGAAGGCAGGGCATTGTAGTTCTATGTGCCTTGTAAAAGGATGATGTAAAGCATTCACAGTTTAGTTATTGGACAACAGTTAACTCACTGATCCAAAAATATAGAAAATACAAGCTAGCTAAGAAATCTGGTGGCAACAACATGTGATGCTTCTGCTCTCCTAGGATGGCTCAAAGGAACTGCCCACATAAGATGATAAGTTGTGCGAGGAAGCCCCACACCATAAGGACCAGAAGAGAAAAAAAAGAAAGACAATTTTCTGGAACAGAGCAATTCTGTGAGACAGTAACAGTTTCCAAAACCCTTTGGTCAGGAATGGGTTTCAGCTCCAGGTGTTGACCAAAGCACGAACATGAGGGAGAAGACAGATGAAAGTAGTACACCATCAAATTCATGAGTGGTTGGAAAGCAAATAATTAAGTTTAACCATATTCTGAGTGTTTTGGGTTCATTACAAATAGATAACGGGAAAAGGGATGGGACCAGCTGATGCCTCAGCCAGGCTCACCTCACAGTATGCCAGACCTGGTGTGCTAGGAGGGCAAAATCCTAAGGGAGAGTATCACCTACACACCTGTCTGAGCAACTTTTGCAAGTAAAAGAAATAGACATCCTGAGAAAACTTCAGAGATGTACGGTGCTTCGTGCTATTAAGTCAAACTGAAATTTTGGCCTAGTACCTGAATCACTGCTCAGTGGCAACTGCAGCCTGAGAACCAGGAACCCAAGCACTAATGTAGTTCTGAGTCCCTTAAAATAAATAATCCTGATGAAAAAGACTGGATGAAATATTATCCTCGTGTCTGTGCATTATCTTACCCATGAGCCCACTGGAGCTATTCAGAGTAATCTGTGGTCCAGATATTCCCTGTCCAATTGTACACAGAGATAGTGCTAAAGAGATCATAACAGTACAGGAACGATGTACTTTGATGGTGCCTCTGTTCATCATGAATTTTATTTACACTACCTTTAAGAAAAAACTGACCTTGTCATCTGTGTTACCCCACATCTTTGATTCAATAAATATTGGGTAACCTACAGCTTAATTAGGAAAATCAGAATGCAAAAGGAGGAAGCTATCATTTAGTCCCAGCTCTGGGCAGTTCAATAGGAAGGTCACAGCACAGCTTCTATTTTCCTACTTTTCTTCTATGTTTTTCTTTTGTAAGGTTACAAATCAGGAACATGCTAGTTCACTGGCATTTAAATACACAATGCCTTTATCATATTGGCATTTGGCAGCGTACTAATGCCAAATGCCTTGTTGAGTCTGCTTCGAAGCTCTTTTTAAGTTGGTTGCTTCATTAGCAGAATGATGTGTGGGTCTCCTGTCAAGTGGGTTATAGGACTCAATCCCCCATGGAGAGAAATGCAAGGCTTTTTGGTGAAAGCACTTAAGCTAGGCAGAGTACCTGTGGCATGAATGATCCTGTCAAGATCTTGAAAAATGATTAGATGATCTAATAGGTCACTGTAATATAAAGTCATTAATTCATGGCCAGTTTTCAACCAAAGGGGTGAAAGCACTCTGGAACTTTCTGTAATGTGACAACGTGCTCCACATTTTCCAGTCACAACAGGGCACCTACTAATCTGCCATCCTATCCTTTACGCAATCCACAGGTTCATACTTTCCCATGTAGGGTCATATCTTGGCTGTAACTGCAAAATACACAAGGAATGGTGATAGGAGGAAGAATTGCAAAGAAGTGATTAAAATATGCCCATTCTCTCTTCTAGTCCTGAAACCTCTGACTTCTTGCAAACTGGAGTACACCAGAGCAGCTGTGCAAGCTTTGCTTGCTAGCTGCCGACAACATCAAGGAAGCAAAATAGAGGCTGGAGGTCAGTGCACAATATGACATTTCTTGTTGTGCCTCCTTTCCTTTGTTCACACTCAACAGATGGAGAAGAGGGCAAACAGGACTTCCAAAACACATAAAAATCCTCACGCCCTAGAACGACCATATTTTGGGTGGTTTTGTTGGCTTTAGAGCTCAACTTCATACTCTGTTGGTACCATAAGAGTGCTTTAGAAGATCTAACCGGTTCCCAGTTGTCTGTGATTAAGCAATCAATGACTTTTCATAGCTTATCTCAATTTATATGACTTCTGCCCTGCACTAGGATTGATCTTCACAAGTGGATGTGAATAACTACCTTGGGAAGACAACTGGTTGCTAATACATCAGAGAACCAGAAATAGAAATAAAACTTCTAACAATGATGATACGCAACCTTTCTTCTAGAAAAAGACAGGCAAACCTACTCTTTCTGGAAAGATTTCCAGAAAGAATTCTATCCTGGGGGTCAAATTCAAACACATATTGACATAAACACATATTAACTAAAAAGCGATGTGCTAATAAAACATGTTTTAATGCAGTGCCCAACACTGGATACAGATTTCCTACATCCTGAGGGAGCCCTCAGAGGAGAGTGACTTTCTGAAAAAGAAGAAGAGAAGCTTCCAATTCAAGCTCTAGGAATAAACTGTATTTCTTCTAATGAAGGAAGGCGTTTTAGTACTCACCCACCAGGAGGAAGAAAAGGAACAAAGTCACTGCAGATCCATAGGGCTTCCCAATGTGCTGGCTCATAGCTGCTGAAATATATGATCTTGCTAGTAGTGTAGGCAAAAAAGCAGCACGGGTAGTGTGGGCAAATAAATATGTGTATGTTATTGCAGCAGGACCTCACATTCTGCCCCGTGAATGTCACACTTACTAAAGTTACCACAGCTCTCTGCCTGCTGCCTGGATGGCAGCCATGTCTGAAGTCACAGCAATGACTTCCTGGGGGCTGTCCTCATCTGTCTTAGAAAAGATGCCGAAAATGCTCAGAGAGCAGTGGGAAAATGATCTTTTTTTTTTTTTTTTTTAATTGCTTTGATGTCATTTAACCAGAAGTTTGGGCTTACAGAATATTCAGATGTTCAAAAGGAGATCTCTTCTTGGCTGAACTCCTTCATAGCAGAGGTGAGTAAAGAGAACAATTGGATTGATTTTTCGAGCAGTTGAAAAATAAGCATCCTTATTCATCATGAAAGGAAGTTATGGGAATTTAGTATTTTTTGTGGACACATACATACTCACAGGTAAAATATATTACCCTTTTTTTTTTTTATTATTATCCCTCAGTGCTATCAAAAAGTTCATTACTTCAACTCCATTTAAGCAAAGCTTGTCCATGTCACCAGATGGAACAGAATACTGGTAAAACGGTTGGCCTACCTGCATCCAGAACTACTGCTGTACTCTGGAATTGGAAATCTGAGCTTGCAGAAAGGCAAATACACAACACTACTGTGTGGGAAGCATGCCAGCAGCTCCAAAGCTCCACCTGTAACACTCAGCCTGGCCAGCAGCTCAGCAGCTGTATGGAGCATATGCCACTCCAGTTAGCTGGCTCACACCTCTCACAGTGCACCTGTTCAGAAGCACACTCATCTAATGATTTTGTTTATCTTTAGGTCTCTTCAGATAATGGAACTGTACTTGAATATCCATTAAAAACTCAGTTCCACACCAATCAAAACACGTACACTGCACATTTCTGCACTAGGATTACTGCTTTTCTTATTATTTTGAAGCAAAAATGACAAACAAAACATCCCCCCCCCACCCCCACCCTCCCCCAAAAAAGAACAACCCACATGTGACTAAAAGACCCTACCACACCATGAGGACAACTGTCTGAAGAACCCAGAAGCAAGTATTTCTTCTGTGCTTTAAATGGGTTGGGAGAGTGGGAAGATCTGGAATTACAAGGTAGGAATTTTTCTGAAGTATAATATTTTTAAAGAAGGGAGCTGGGTCTTTGTGCAGAACAACACAGCACTTAGCTGAACACAGTCAAAGCTAGATTGCAAGGCTCTTCTGAAAGAAGTATTAACTAAGTGCTAGAGAGCAAAGATCAAGAAAGGATCGGGTCTTGGGAATCTGGAGAGGTTCCAGTCAACCAGAAGCTGATAAGTGTTGTCACAGTTTTCAAGAAGGGCAAGAAATAAGATCCTGGTGTTTACAGAATGGTTGGTCTCACTTCAATGCCTGGCAAAATTATGGAGAAGATTATTTCGGGAGATACTGAAAAATGCCTGACAAACAATGCAGCCATTGATCACTAATAACAAAGGTTGACAATGGGAATGGTTGACATGGGTTGACTGTCAAACTTAATCTCCTTTTATAAGTTTACCCAGCTAGCTAGCCAAGCAGAACTAGATGATTATTTCAGTAAAGAACTGTGTTTCTCACAGTATCTTTCTTAACAAATGTGCAGTGTATAGCTAGACAAAAACATAATGTGGTGGGTGAAGAACCAGCTGACAGGTTTGGCATAAACAGTTATAGTAGCAAACTGGGTTGTATCAAGCTGGTAGCAAGTCACTAGAGGGCTTCTGAAAGGCTCACTTTTAGGGTCAGTTCTCTTTGTTTTCATCAGTAACTTGGATACAGGGCTCAAAGGTATACTAAGTAAGTTTGTGGATGATAGTAAATTAGTAAGACCTGTTGACTCCCTTACAGAGATCTTGACAAATTTCTGAGCTGAGTAATCATCAAGCACGTGAAGTTTAACATGGTAAGTGATGGATTTTGCATCTGAGATGGGGCAACTCTGGAACTATATACAGACAGTGGGGGTGAAAGGCTGGAGAGCAAACCTGCAGAAAGAGATCTGGGGGTTCTGACTGATGGCAAACTGAATGTGAGTCGGGGCCCGAGGGAACGGCATGGAGCTGGGGGTTAGGAACAGGGTCTGCACCAGAGGCGCTGGGCAGTGGGCACGGACCCAAGTGCTGGAGTACAGGGACTTAAGAGGAATCAAAATCTAACAGGATTTTGAGGACTGAGTAGTCAGCAAAGTCAGAAGTAGATGTAGAGCAACCAGAGCAAAGCTACCAGCCGTGGCTGCATGGCAGAGAAGTTGTGGGAAGACATAGCTGGATCAAAGAGATTCCAGACTCCATCTGATGTAAACTCAAGTACGTGTACGCTTCTAAAAAAAAAAAACTCCTTAAGCATTCTGTGGCAGATGTTCTACTGTTGTTTTTGCAAATGGTGTTTGTGTTCATGTTATCCTGTGACAGTAATTCTGCCGTGAATCCACCCTTAAATAGGATGTGACTGAGCAAAGCTGTCAGGCTGGCCAGTCGTAAGGGAATAGAAAGTGCTCTCGGTGCTGCTGGCAGCTGTCAGTTGAAGCTTCTCACATGGGGTAACTCAGTGAGATTAAGAGAGAATTCCAACTTTCGGATGAAAAGGAAAGATGGTCCCCTAGCTGACGTTGAGAAGAGTTAGGAAAATGTGGATTTCGGGTGTCCAAATTAAGAAAGCAAGCAACAAAAGAGAACTAAACAATGTGTTCTTTATTACACCTTCTTGTACACTTCGGAAACTCTCTACTGGCGGCACACGGCTGTCCTGTCCGGGCCCCACGGCTGGGAGTGGACGTCGGTCACAGTGACTTCTTCCACCCCGGCTACGTCTCTCCCCCTGTAGGTGTCCCCCTGGAGCGAGCTGACCGTTCAACGCACAGCCCCGCTCCTGCCGTTACCCACAAGGGGGGCGCGGGGCCGGCCCCGCCCGTCTCCCCCGGTGCCTCCCGCTGTCAGGAGAAGAGGCAGCTGCAGCCCAGCCGCATCCGCCCCGGCCGCACTCCTAAACACTCCCCGACTCCTCGCAGCCCTCACTACGCTCCCTAAAAGCGTCGGTGAAGCTGACCCCGACCCGCGCGCGTGTGGGCAGGAGGGAGCGCAGACCCTCTCCGCCCATCCTGGCAACCCCTCGACGCGGGCGGGCGGCCCCTAGCCCCGGCCCGGCCTCCCGCTGAGCCGCTCTTCCCTGGCAACCGCCTCCCGTCCGGGTCCTCGCCCCGCGGCCCGGCCGGCGCCTGCCCCTTTAAATGGCGGCCGCGGCCCCGCCGTGCGCCCCGCTCAGGCAGTTCGCGGGCGCCGCGCCGCTCTCGCCCCCCTCCATGGTAAGCGCCGCGCTCCGCGCCCTCCCCGCCGGCTCGCCCTTGCTCTTCTGCGGCCCCGCCGGAGAGCTCCGTGCCCCGGCCGTCGGCCCGCTATCTCGCCAGCCCCCCTAGGGCTGCGCAGGTAGGGGCGGCGGGGGTCCTTCCCTAGGGGACGCCTCCGCCCTTCCGGAAAGTTTTTGGGGGCGGGCGCGGGGAGGAGGGGGCCCGCAGCTTTCTGCCCCCCGCTGCGGCTTCGGCCTCCTCTCGGGGCTGCGCGGGGAGGCGCCGGCCGGCCGCCCGCGGACTGGCTGCGGGGTGCCCGGGGCTTAACTGAATTATAGAGCGGGTCGGGAAGTCTCTCTGTGGCGTTAAGATCTCTGCCTGCGGCGTGGGGTGGTGGCGCGGGACGGCTGCTGGATGCCGTGGTGAGGCTGGGCTCCCTCGGGGCTGAGAACGCGGCTTTGCCTTTTCTGTTGCCTCTCTAGATCACCGCTATGGGCGGTGGTTCCTTCTGCTCCAGTTTGCTGTGGGGCTTGGGGCAAGTGTCTTCCCCTTTCTGAGGCTCAGCTTCCTGTCGTGAAATAAAAGTGACCTCCCCGGTGAAAAACGCTGTCAAAAGTGTGCTTATTTTTGTAATAAGTGATGCAGGTAGAAGTGTCTACCTGTGAAGCGCTGCATCTCATTGTAGCAAGGTGTGTGTGTGGGGTGGGGTGGCAGTCTTCTCCCAGGTACATAGTGGAAGGATGAGGGGGTAATGGCTTCAGGTTGCACCAGGGGATGTTCGGGTTGGATATTAGGAAACATTTCTTCTCAGCAAGGGTGATGAGGCAGTGGCACAGGCTGCCCAGGAAGGTGGTGGAGTCGCTGTCTCTGAAGGTGTTCAAGAGCCATGTAGATGTGGCACCAAGGGACATGATTTAGTAGGCATGGTGGAGATGGACTGATGGTTGGTCTTGGCGATCATACAGATCTTTTCCATCCTTTCTGTGATTTCTCATGGCTTTTCTCACTCACTCAAAGGCCCTTCAGATCTTAGAGATGCTCTGTATGTTATGTGCTGTTGTCTTGTGTTAATATTATTCTGGTGTTACATGCCTGTGTGGCTTCAGTGTGTAGGTTGAGGTGCTGCTGAGGAAATAATATACTCTGATAACAATGTAAGTAATAATTAAGTACAGCATACTCTGTAAAAACAATTAAAAGCCTGTCAGTTGGGAGTGTTTCCCTGCCACTCACCTAGGTAAATCTGGCATGTCAAGTTTTGTTTAACACACAGCTCTCATATGAGTTAAACATCTTATTTCAGGACCATTCTCTTCCATTGTCCAACGACATTGTTTGCTTCCTTGTTCACAGGAAGTTGATGAAGTGGATCATGGTGTTACTAGCCAGCTGGTTGCAGATTCACAGGAGACTCACAGCTCGTGCACAGAGAAGATGCAGGTTCCTGCTCAGTATAGCTGGAGTGCTGACTGGAGCTTTTGGGTAATGTTTTTTCCCAATTTGTTCCTCTATCTATATCCATGTGTTTACATACTAGCTTTATATCCCTTCTTCTCAGGTTGCTTTGTAGTCATGAATTAGTGAAGTGTTCTCCACCTATGTAGTGAGGTAGATAATTTGTCATTATCAGTTTTCTAAAGTGTAAGCTGACACTGAGAGAGAATGAGGTTG